CTTTGGGCCACAGGGATCAGCGGGACTGAAAAGAGATTCAAATGATTTTGCTACTTTTTGTCTAATTTCTGAAAGAGCTGAAAGGAAAAAAGTTCTTCTTTACCCAGAGGCCAGTGCAGAGTAAAAGCTAATTAACACTGTGGAAGCAAGAAGCTCAATCCAAGTGAACAAAACACTCATTACAAGGAGAGGGTAACTGAGCAGGAGCCTGCAGGCTGGGAGAGCTGTGCACAGGAGACAATCACACCTTGGTGGACTGTCCTGGACACAAAAAAAGGGAGCAACCACAGTAAGGGGTGGATTGGGAGGCAGAATTCTCAAACTTCAACAGCAGGACCAGGAAACAATGAAACAAGCACTTTTTATTTTTTGGTACCAGGGATCGAATTCGTGAGCTTGCACTTTCAAGGCAGGTGAGGTGCCACTAAGCTCCAAGAGGTGCTTTTTAATGAGGCAAACTTAAGCTGGATGTTCTGGAGCACACCTGCAAACCTAGCATTTAGGAGGCTGAGACAGGAGGACCACCTCAAGTTCGAGGCCAGCCTGGGCTACACAGGCTGAATTCAAGGCCAGCCTAATCCCTCGGTAAAATAGTTAATAAAACACGCAAACAAAATAAGAAAAGAGAGGCAAACATAGAGCAGAAAGCCACGGTACAGTGAGGCTAAGACCCTGCAGCTTGGGGCCTGAGCCCAGCCATAGGTGTGAGAATCTCCCTGGCTCCTCTGCCCACCCTTTGGGCCCCAGCGCCCATGCACCCTGTGGAAGCTGAGGCCTGGAGTCTGGATGCTGGGGTTTGAAGGCCTGCTGTCCACTTGGCTCTGCTTCCAGCATCTGCTGGGTCATGCAACCCCAGGAAAGCACTCACCTACCAAGGTTTGGCAGGACCTGACAGGGAATGGGACAGAGATGTTTAAAGACTTGTACACATACAAGGCATTCCTGTTCATTTTTGTGGTAGTGGAGACTGAATCCAGTGCCCTCAAATTGAACTATATCCCCAGACCTGTTTTTAATTCTCCACTTTGAGACAAGGTCTCACTAAGTCACCCAAACTGGGCTCAAGCTTGCAATCCTCCTGCCTCAGCCTCTCTGGGCGCTGGCATGGCATTTTTTTTTTTTAAATGATGCAAAGACCACCAGGTGTCCAGGTAGAGAATTCTTCTTTAAATATGAGATTTAATCGTTTATAAGTACATGTATAACTGTGTTATTACACGTTTCAAACGCACTGTAACATATGAGCCTCTCATACCCACATAAGCCATCTGGTGTAACTGACTTCCAGAAACATGTTGAGACAAACCAGCACTGCGTAGGAATGAAGAGAAGAGAGGACCTCAGACTGAACTGAATGTGAATGTACACAAGAGGCAGCAGGGAAGACAAATCCGCCTGTCCCAACCCAGTGGCCTCTGTGTCCTTGGACACAGAGGCCACCGCATCTGACTCCAGTGCCACTTGCTATTTAATTGAGGAAGTGACTTAGCCAGAAACAACCGGAGAACACAGGCAGTAAAACTGATGGGGCCTGGCCACTGTGTGGTCTAAGATAAACGATCTAGAAGGCCGGGAAGGAAGGAGCGCCACCAGCGGGGTGATAAAGACAGGGACATGGCAGGGGGTGGCTGGGAGGAAGATGACAGCCCTGGGGATTTAGCTCAGTGAAAACGCATGGGACAGACAGCAGCCTGAGCACTGAGCCCTGCACTGGCACCCCAGGAAGAAGCAACGCCACAGGGTCTGATGATCAGGCAGCTGTGGCAGGAGGAGGATGGTGTTGCCTGGGCTGCCCTGCCCACCTCCATACGCGTCTGCCGCTGCCTCCTCCTCCTCCTCCTCCGCCAACAGGAGCAACTCTATCCAACACCACTCACAAGAGACCAGCAGTCTCAGGGGACACCAGACACCCAGGCAGGATCAGGAAAGAACACTAATGTGATAACCCAAGCATGGAGAGATGACGGAGGTTTCTTAGACCAGATGGTGTTGGCCAGGCCTTGAAAACGAAGATTCAGAGCAGAGAGTAAAAATGGCATTGCAGGAAGAGAGGCATCAGGACTGGGAGAGGACTGAGTTGTCCTTGGGGTCCCAGATTGCTAACTGTGAAGGACAGGCTGCATGCCTGGCCCATGGACACCCTGTAATGAAACTGTCACATGGGTGTTTAGATCTGGGGAGAGGGCTACTGGCTTTCAGACCCTCAAAAGGATTCATGACGTTAAAAATGCAAGGGCCACTCACGCAGGCAACTGGCAGGGTGGTCACGGGTGAGAGGGGCTAAATTACATGGGTCAAGCCCTGCCCGATTCTACATATTAGACAATTGCCCCCACCTGACACCTATCTCTCCCTGGTGGCTTCTTTGCTTTTTTTTTTTTTTTCCCCAATTTTTGGTACCAGGTATCAAACTCGGGACTTTGCGCTTGAGAGGCAGGCGGTGGAACTACTAAGCTAAATCCCCAGCCCTATCCTGGTGGCTTCTTAGTCGCTGAGGATTTAACAGAGTGACTGGAGAGCTGGGCATGTTGGCGCATGCCTGTAATCCCAGCACTTGGGAGGCTGAGGCAGGAGGATCGCTGTGAGTTCGAGACCAGCCTGGGCTACATAGTGAGTTCCAGGTCAGTCTCAACTACATAGTGAGACCCTGTCTCAAACAAACAAACAAACAAAAAGAGTGATTGGCACACTGTAAAAGAGCTCAGGACAGTCAGTAACATCCTTTATAGAAAGGAAACCAGCAAAAGTTAAAAAAAGAGAACCTGGAAAAGGAGACAGAAGGTAAGGAGAATCCATACATTAAAACGCCAGAGAAGGGGCTGGGGATGTAGCTCAGTGGTACTGCACCTGCGTCACAATCACAAGGTCCTGAGTTCGAACTCAGGTTAAAAAAAAAAAAAGCCATAGAAGGCCAGGTGTGGTGGGCATGCCTATAATTCCAGCACTTAGGAAACTGAGGAAGAAGGATCACTGTGAGTTAGAACCAGAATGAGTTCAAAACCAGCCTGTACTACATGGTGAGGCCCTGTCTTAAAAAAAAAAAAAAAAAAAAAAATCCTTCCTATCCAAAAGGCAACGAACAGGGGAAAGGAAATCTCCAAATTCAATGATGTTTAGGCTTCTGAGGAAAGAGGCTGAAAGTTGAGATTAAGGTGCCAGAAACATGGTGGTGCATGTCTGTTATGCCAGCTACCTCAGAAGGCTGAGGAAAGAGGATGGCAAATTCAAGCCCAGACTGGGCAACTTAGCAAGATTCTCTCTCAAAATAAAAGGGAAAAAAAGGCTGGGAGCGTAGCTCAGGGGGAGAGGGCTTGCCTAGCAAGTACCAGGTTCTGGGTTCAATCTTTAGTCCAGAAGGGAAAAAAGTTGGACCCCCACAGAGTGAAAGGGGTGTTATTGATGACTATAATGGGACAGCAGAAACCAGGGCCATTCCGTGCAAACACACTCACAGTCACCTGGCTGAGAAGGAAGTCAGTGGAGTAGCCAGGAAGGCAGTAGACACCACACAGTGTCACAAAGGGATTGTTGTGAAGAGAGATAGGACATCAGTCAGAAGAGAGTGGAGCTAAACGTCTTTAGCCCCTGCATTCTCCAGCCACCCGATACCTAGATGTGCAATGGTCCTCAAACAGCTCTTGCACGAGTGTTGCCTGTGGCACTCTGCTACTTCAGGAAGTGACCTCAGGAAGCACTCTAGTGCATGCCTATAATCCCAGCACTCCAGAGGCTGAGGCAGGAGGATTACTACAAGTTCAAGGCCAGGCTGGGCTACACAGTGAGTTCAAGGCCAGCCTGAACTGCTTAGCAAGACCCTGTCTCAAAACTCAAACAAACAAACAAACAAACAAACAAAAAACAGCAGCATTCTGGGGCTGGGAGTATAATCAGGGATCAAGCATCTGGCTTGTGGGAGGCCCTGCACCACACACTCACACACACAAAAATACTTCTTTTCTTTACTGTTTAATTGTCATTTAAAGAACTTTTAATTATTATTTTTACTTTCAGAACATGAGACACTTGAAAGGCAGATTTTCATATCCAGTAATCCTTCATGTATAAAAGCCTCCCACTATGTTTTACTTTTTTCCAAATTATTATTATTGGCGGGGGTGGGGTTGGTACCAGGGATCAAACTCCAGACCTTGCGCTAAGACAGGTGACAGAACCACTGAGCTAAATCACCAGCCCTCAAATTATTTTAATTAACAGAGGATACATTTTTCAAACAGGCTTTTAGTATGGCCTCTTCTTAAAGGGAAACAATAAAAAGATGAGGTTAACTTTTAGGTGTTTGTTGAAGTTAATTCCTGCACAGATTGGCAGAATGAGAACAGTGAATACATCCACAGAGCAGTATTTCTTTTTGTCCAGTGCTAATTTCTAATTTCACCTCAGGTACAGCTGAGAGGACAGAGAAGTCAAGGGAACACACACCAAAGGACACTGGGTGAGAAGCTCAGGCTAGTGTCATAGTACAAAGATGCAACCTTGCTGATGACAAGGGGGACAGGAAACTGAGCTACACAGTATCAAGAGGGTCAATAATAAGGTAGGGTTCACCTTTTAGAGCTGTCAATGATACAACCAACCTGCTGGGGCATGCACGCTGTAGATTCACCATCACTGTGCTTTAAAAGCACAAGCGGCAGGCGCCTGCCTCGCAAGCACAAGGACCTGAGTTTGATCCCCGGTACCAAAAAAAAGCACAAGCGGGCAATTTACCCAAACTGCACCAGCTTCCACCCAGGGCGAGGAGCCCTGACTTCGTGGAGCCTGGCGAACTGAGGCCAGGGATTGGGACAGCTGCATGGCCTGGCAAGGCTGTGGGATCAGTGCCTGTGCCCCAGTGACACTCGGCATCAGAAGCAGAAAGGCACCAGTTGGAGTCTCAAAGGCAGAGCTGGGCTCAGGGCCAGCTTAGCACATGCCAGGCCCTGGGTCCATTCCCAGCACCACAATGAAAATAAAATAAATACAATGCAATGCTCACGGCAGAGATTTAAATAACCAAAGGAGAGATATTTATTACAAAAACCAGTTTGCTTTCCCTTCCTGTGTTTCATATTTTCCTTTTATGTCAGTAAATATGGATAAAGTGACCAGAAACCTGCATGATTAAATAATATTAACAAGTTCATCAACAGACCACATTTTGGAGAATAAGGTAAGAGATTGAAAAAAATATTCCCTAACCCAATGTGTCCCTCAAAATTGCACATTTTCCTATTTGTTTAATTTAAAATATACATACAGAGTGACCTTAACATATTGATTAATATCAAATTCATAGCCTTGGAGACATACTCAACACCTTTGAAAGAAGAGACCTCTCTGGCCCTGGGAACTATCAATGTGACCCATCACACACACTTCATACCTCTGGGACAACCGGTCTCTCCCTTTCTCTAATTCTAGTCTTCTCCTGAGGTACTCCAGGAATCCACTTTTGACAGATCCGTCTTCCTAAAACAGGGACCCGAGGATCAGCTCCCAGAGGACCCCACAGTTTCCAGGCTGCAAATCTGGCGTTGAGGGCCACATATTGGAATGGTCAAGAGAACTCTGAACTTTACAAAGGAAGGCCCAACACTCCATGAGCCAAAGTCATCTGTGAGAAGTCAGAGGAGAACAAGTCGACAGTAAATGAAGATGTGTCTGCTTCTAGAATGGTTGCCTTGGAGACGGGGAGCAAGCAGGTAGCGGTCTCCCCCACCTTGGCGTTCTTTGTCAGAGGCAGGCTTGTAGTTCAATCAGATGGAACCCTGTCTGCATCACGATTAATGCTTCAAAGGTGAGCGGCACTCTGCAAATGTATTACCCAAGCAAATGCGGCAGCCCTTCCGTTCATCTTGGGTACAGACCACGCACAGTTCTGCCTTCTGTCCCGTCAAGTTTCTAGGCTGGCGAACATCAAAGGCTGACACAATTAAGGTTACAGGGACAAACCGCAACAGGACAAGTGAGGACACTGGTGGCTTCTCATGCCACTCAGTACATTCAGGAAACAACGCTAGAAGCCATCACAGTCATTCTGTAGTGTATAAAAACAGCACAGCCTTCCTGCTGGCAGGTGTCCCGGGTGGGACAGTAGTGGTGAGGCCTCCCAAGCTGAGCTTAAGCTGGCACGGAGACAGCCCAAGACCTAACAGTCTTCATGTGTCCCCACTGTCCTTTTCTCATGAGCACCGGTCACTCGCTCAGCACTCGAGCTTGTCTCCTCTGCACCAGAGAGGCGACCTCCCTGGCGATCAGGGGGGAGATAAACAGAATCGTACAGCTTGTCTGTGAAGAGAAGGAGTGAGAAATGTGCCCAGCCATTCCCTGCTGTGAGGGATTCATGTTTGCAATGGAACAATGGATTCGGGCAATTAAAAGATAACTTTTATTCTTCCGTGGACTAGAAAATATCACACAATTCTTAATGTCACATTAGTTGCCCCCACCAAAAGAACTAAAGTATATGACAGACATAGGGAGAACAAAAAGCTGTCAGCGTGTGGAAGGGAAAGCTGGTCACTGCTAGTACACCGGGTTGTTTTCTACAGCAGTGCCCAGTGCGTCACATTATCAGAAGCCACTGTTCTCCTGCAGCAGGAGCATCAGGAATGGAACAGCAGGGTACAGCATGGACTCTGGAAGCCAGAGGCAAGGAGACTGTGCCAGGGGCTTCCTGAAGTCAGACTGTCCAGGGGCTCCTTGTGCCAGCTCAGAGGGGAGCTGTTCCCATTCAGGATGGCCTAGACCTGCCATGGGCACTATCCCGATAATAATGTGGCAGAGTATGTTACGTGCCTGTTCAACAGAGGGAACTTTTCTTGTTTTTTTGGTTTTTGGAGATAAGATCCCACTCCAGTCTAGGCTGGCCTTGAGTTCACTCTGTAGACCAGGCTGGCTTCTACTTTACAATCCTCCTGCCTCAGCTTTCCGGGTACTAGAATTACAGATACGTGCCACCACGCCTGGCCAGAAGGTAACATTTTTAAAGCACGAGGCCTTTTTCTGTATTGGCCTTTTCCCAGGAGTACAAACTCGCAGCTGAGAATGGCTGCAGCGTGACAACCATCTCTTCCGAGACCACCACCATTTCAGCCCACACAGCAGTGTCAGCTAAGTCTGTGTGGACTACCATGCACTGGAATTCCCTTCACAATCCCAAATTATATTTAGCAGGGACCTCACAGCCAGTACAGGGATCAATGCTTGGTGACCTGTAAGGAAGTCCTATTTTTCTGGAATTAAAAATGGCAACACTTAATGGACTCAAGTTGAGGGCAAACTGAGAGCCCTTCCCTTCTCTGAGAAAAGACTGTGTTTAAACAGACTTAGAAATGTTACTTTTTGCAAAAGGGTATTTAAAGGCAGTCAGCAATTTTGCTGGTTTCCGGAAGTGTCTTAGGAAAATGCTCTGAATTGAACTACTAGGAAATATGACTTGTTAAAAAAACTTAAAAAGTGCACTTACCATGAGAATGAAAAAGTAGAAAACCCACATCCAGCCTAGGTTGTCCTGGATCAAAGACACCAAATACTAAAAGGGACAGAAAGAAATCACAATGTAACTTTTTGGAAACTAATAAAATGAGGTGGCTGAAAAGCAGATTAAGCACTGCTGTGTCAGCGATTGAGAAGGGCGTCTAGGACTGGACAATGCCCTCGGGTTGCAAAGCTAGTCCACGGCTGTTCTCGCTGACCCCGCCGCAGCACCGATCATCCTGGCAGCCTGCAGAGTCCTTGTTCCCGGTCACTTGGCTACAGAGAGGAGGACGAGCACCCTTAAGCCACCCGCCCGCTTTATCACAGTCTCCCAGCCAGAGGCGCACAGCAGATGCTGCCTGTGGCTCTGAAGGGCGCCACTCACTCTCCGTCATCTGCAGCTCACAGGGTTCTTGGACTACTGCCCCATTCGACAGCTCTACCTTAAATCACTTTACTTTAAATTACCGCCAAGAGCCCAGTAGCATTTAACCCGTTTTCTTGTATTATAGTAAAATATATCTAACAAAAAACTTGCCATTTTCATCATTTTTAAAGGTTGTACATTCACAATGCTGTACAACCACTGCTGCTATTTCCAAAATTTTTTCATTACCCAAAAGAAAACCTACAGTTAGTAAGCAGTAACCCTTCATCACCCCTTGCCCCGCCCCTGACAACCTATAATCTGCTTTCTAGCCCTATGAATTTGCCTAGTCTAGGTGTTCCATACAAATGGAATCATGTAATTTCGTTCTTTTTTGTCTGGCTTAGTTCACTTAGCATAACATTTTCAAGGTTCAACCATGTTGTAAGCATGTATTAGGACTTTGTTCTGTTCAGGACCGAAGAGTACTCCACTGTAGGAAACACACCATAGCTTGTTTATTCATTAATCTGTTGGACACTTGAGTCGTTTCCAACTTTTAGTCCCTGTGAGTAATACTGCAATGAACACTGGTGTGCAAACACCTGAGTCCCTGTTTCCAGGTCTTTTGGTTATTTACCTAGGAGTGCAAGTACTGGATCATATGATATGATCATTCTACCTTTTTTTTTTTTTTTTTTGAGGATCCACTGAGGAATTTCCCACAGCAACAGCAACAGCCTACATTTTCATGAGCAATGCGGTCCTCATATTTCTCCACATTCTCACCAATACTTATTATCTTGTCATTTTTATTTATACCACTCTAAGAGGTATGAAGTCCCATTTACCATATTCTTAATTTGCATTTCCCTGATGAACAGGGTGCTGAGAATTTTTTGAGTACCTACTGGCTCTTTGTATATACAGCATTTGTAATGAAGATTTGTCTGTCTGATTCGTTCTAAGAGTTTTATACTTTTACTTCATAAAGTTAGGTTTTTTAATCCATTTGGAGTTAATTTTTGTATCATATAAGCAAGGGTTAGTCCAATCTCATTCTTTTATGGATTTCCACTATATTCTTTTATGGATATCCACCCAGCTTTCCCTACATCTTTTTTTTTTTTTTTTTTTTTTTTTTTTTTTTGGTACCGGGGATTGAACTCAGATCTTTGTGCTTACAAGGCAGGTGGCGACATCACAGAGCTCAATCTCCGGCCCAAAAGTTTTTTGTTTTTGTTTGTTTGTTTGTTTTGGTACTGGGGATTGAACTGAGAACCTTGTGCTTGCGAGGTAGGCATGGTGCCACTGAGCTAAGTCCCTGGCCCTCCTATATAGTTTGCTGAAGAGAACATTCCTCCCCATTGAACGACCATGGGGCCCTTGTTGAAAATCAAGTGACCACATATGTGTTGGAGGTGTGCATCAACTGCTATGGCAACAGGGAGGAAAGAACAATGAATCCTTTCCTGACTCCACAGGAAGGGAGGTTCCCAAGTTACTCAGGAGTTGGGGGGAAGAGGGCAAGGCTGACAGAAAGTCGTGGGGTCTGTGATTTCACCCCACAGACAATAGGAAAAAGCTCAGAAATCTGTGTGGAGGAGGAATGCAAACAGCCAACAGTGGATCCCGACAGGATGTTGCTAATGCTGACTGAGATCACAGTTTGGGACCTGATGCCAGTGACCAGTGAGACATTCTAAATCAAGATAAGTGCCCTGAAACACTCAATTTGCCCATTTAGTTAAGGAAGAAAATATCAGTGAGAAAAGATAACTAAAATACAGTGTGTGGGAAAAGAAAGCACAATACAGATACCCTTCACTTCAAATAGAAGACTTTTGAACTGGTAATCATCAGCGTATTCATATTTCTACTCCAGAGGGTGACCAGGTATATAATTCTCCAAACTTTGCCAAGCACTTTTTAAATTTTTGCCCTTGAGTCATATGAGAAAGTATAGTAAGCATGTCAATGCATCATTCTTTCATTCTGTAATCATTCAATAAACACTGTCCTGTTGACTATGGGGCAGGTTTGGCTACAGATACAAGGGCCACAGCAGCACACAAGCCAAACCATCGTGTTCACAAAGCTTCCGTGATGTGGGACACACAGACATGGTGATGACCATACCCTGCAGGGCTCAGTGAGGTAGGAATGAAGATGGCTCACTTCTTTTCCATCCCAGCTCTGTTAATCACGACCAATCACCTCCAAGCAAGCTGTCCTGGGCCATTCATGACCTCCTGGATGTCAGCGTGAAGAACTTCTGTCCTTCTATACTTCTGACCTTGCTCTACTGAGGTCCTCACAAACTGTCACCCTAACAGTTTCCCCTGACTACCCATGACCCCTGTGGCTTCCAGCCTCCTGACCACTGGGCACTGCTCTCTCTCACTGAAGGCCTTATCCACTTCCAAGGGTTTGGCTATTTTATCCACGCAGGTGGCTCCCAGATTTATAAAGTTAGCCCCCCACAGCCCTGAGTGCTACATCCAGGAGAGGCACATCTCCCCAGAGTTCTAAACAAGGGATGCCTTCAAGATGGCCTGAATGTGAGCCAGAATGGGCAACAAGGGTCATCCTGGCTGCACATGGTAGGCAATCTGGGCTCCTCAGACGCCCCCGATGTCAGACCACAGAAGAATCCCCAGGAAGGGACCTCAGGCTCCATCAAGCAAATCTTCAGTGAGGTCTGTGTTCTACCCATGAAGCAGTCAGAGATTCTCAGACATTTGGGAAACTGCAGCTCAGAGGCAGCGAGAATCCACAGGCATGTGTGGTAGGGATGCAGGTAAGGAGTGTGAGTACACCAGTGTCTGGAAGGGACAAGAAGGGCCCTGGGGAGAGGAAGACAGGCAGGGCTTGCATGCAGGTAGGCATAAGAAGAAGCACGTGTCTCATGTGTCCCTGAGTGCCATGTTCAACCTCGGAAAAGGGGACAGTAGCTGGGGCAGGAGGATCAGTTGTAGAAGTTAAAAAGAATCTGGAAGTCAAAGTCAAAAGGAGAAACTCAATCAGGTAGACGGCCTTTGATGTTGGGCCACATCAGCAGGACCACAAAGGAGAGGGCAAACCTAAGGCTTTCAGAACTCCACAGCTTTTGAGTGCACCTCCATCTAATGGGTTCCCTATTCTCTGATGCCCTCACCTGGCCCACAGCAGCACCAATGCTCCCAGTCCCATCGACGATGCCTGTGACAGTTGCCAGAGCCTCACTGCTGCCTTGGATCAGCTCCTGACGACCCAGGTCTGCAGAAATAGCTGAGCTGATCATGTTAGAAGGACCACCAATAAAGAATCCTGCAATCACAAACAGAGCAGGTTGTTATTAAATGTGATTCCTAACACCACAAGCAATCTACTGAATGAGGCAAAATATCATCTCAATATTTTACAAGTACAATGGAGAAAAACAAAATAAAAGGAAACTGCAGAGAATACCTTCAAAATAGCATCCATTTTCTGAAATCCCTTTGTGAATTATGTGACCCTCTTGTTTTATTTATTTATTTATTTCTGTTTGTTATGTACTTCAGGCTGGCCTTGAGCCCAGGCTGGCCTTAAACTCCAAGTGATCCTCCTGCCTAAGCCTCCTGAGTGCTAGGATTATAGTCATGTGTCACCATGCCTGGCTGTTCTAGTATATTTATAGAACCTCAAGATGTTAGAAATACAGCAAAACACGGAGGCATTCCACTGCAGTGAAGTTTCCACTCATCAATAACTAACTGACTAGCTCGTCAAGTTCCATTACAGCACGGTTCTATCACGTGGGCATTTGTCAACCCAAAGTCACCTAATGCACTGAAAACGAGAGGGCAAAGGAAGGCTGCTTCCATAATACAGGGGTTCCTCTCTGCCACCACCAGGCACCTGGGAATCTGCCACAGCACCTGTGCCTCACACAATGTGAGTAGCTCACCCACGACGGGATCTGAGGTTTTAAAAATTAGCAATCTTTCCATACCACAGCCCCCTGATTGCATACAATTATTCCATCTAGCGCTCAAGTGAAGAAATGTTAACTAATGCTAACAATGAAGGGAAAACTAGCTAGCCTGAACTTTTGTAAGCTGGTAAAATGGTTTCCAATGTGGCATCTTCTGAAGCCATAACCAAAACTGAGGCAGTGATCAAAAATGTTATACTGAGCTGGGCGTGGTGGCACACGCCTGTAATCCCAGCACTCGGCGGGGCTGAGGCAGGATCGCTGTGAATTCGAGACCAGCCTGTGCTACACAGTGAGTTCTAGGTCAGTCTCAACTACATAGTGAGACCTTGTCTCAAAAAAAAAAAAAAAAAAGTTATACTGAAGTTGGGCATGGGAATGCAGGCCTGAAATCCCGGCTCTCAGGAGGCTGAGGCAGGACAATCATGAGTACATGGATAGCCTGGACTATATAAAAATCCTCTGTCTCAAAAGACAATTGATAGTTTCTAGAGACAGCTTCTGTCCCAAGAGGGCTGAGGAAGTGACCAACAAGCAGAGAACACAATCTGGAAAAAGACCTGTGATGATGCATGCCTGAAATTCCAGCTATTGGCAGGGGTGGGGTCAAGATGTGTTTTATACCTGTACCAATTCCCCACAGTGAATGCAATCACCATGTGGCTGAGTCAGGAGAAGCGCAAGTGTGAGATTAGTGATACCCTATCTTGAAATAACATACAAAAAGGCTTGGGCTATAGCTCAATACTCCCTTGGTTCAAGCCCTAGTCCCACAAAAATCATGGTAAGTAAGGCTTTAGCACTGCTCAAGTTGAGAGGGACAGTCTCCCTCGCCCCCGAATTTCCCAGGAAAGCACAGCTGCAGGGCCATCACAGTACCTGTCACCGTCATCAGGAGTGCATTGATGGACTTATTGTTGGGAGACCCTGTGAGGAGACACAGATGCATCATGGTGACCAGGGAAGCAGTGACATGGGGCTCCGCCAAGTGTACACAAAGGTTTGGGTCTCTGAGACCTCACAAATCCCACAGCACAACAAAGAGAGGCAACTCTCACTGCCTCTGCCAGTTTTTATTTGTCATGTCTGCCTCAAGCTAATGAGACTTCTAAAAGCCAAAGGAAGCTCTGCCTATCTCAGCAGCATCTTAAGGGATGAGTCCCACGCCGGCTAATTAGGCTCAGCCCGCTTTTGAAACCTTGCCCCTTTTATTGTTTTATTGGCTCTAATGTGGTCCCTCTGGAGCCACCCCTCACACAAAGCACATATGCTCCCGAGCAAGCCTTTAAACAAACCCACAAGCAGAAGCTGGGCCAGTTCTCTCCCGACACAAACAACACTGGGTGATGACCAATTCCCAGGCACCCCTGGACCTGTGGAGGTGGCTGGGCTCAGAGCTGACCTCAACTTCAAACACTTGCTCCCGCTCGATGCAGGCAGGGGATACTCACGGCTGTATCCCACAAGGGAGCCGACTGCCAGGAGCAGGCTGAGGGCCAGCACCGGTGCTCTCTTCTGCAGGACATCCGAGATGAAGCCTTGCAGCGTCCCACCTTGAGAACAGAGCACAATGGGTCAGAACCGGCTCCCCACCTGACCCTGCGTTCTTGCCAGCAGCCCAACCACAAAGATGCCAGCTCTCTCCAGAGCCTGCCACCCTCTCCTAGCAGGAGGATGAGCTGACCTACATCGCCATGGAGGGTAAAACATCCCGATGAAAAAAAGAGAACCCCCAAAACCATCGACTCTTGCTTACTGTTTTCCCTACAAAAAGTAGCTGTAGAAACTTTCCCTGATTAGTCTGCTTTTCAATTTAAAACCTGATTAGTTAAGGACCGGACCTGTCCCTCACAGGCTATTAATAGTGGAAAGGAAATAGTCACTAAAATTAAATGCAGCCACTTTGGTTCAGTAATAAGTAACAGGTCAGGGTGCTTGAGAAGAGGGATGTGAACCCTTTAGGTGGCACTGTCACACTCAGAAAGTGCCAGACTGAGATACAGGGACTACAGGACATCTGGGACGTACTCATCAGACCACAGGTACCGAGGCAATCCTCCTTTCAGGGACACAGAAGCATGGTCAGGCGGAAAGGTGCCAACCTACCCTGTGGTTCTGGATCTATGAATAAGGGCAGCCAAGTTCACCTAAGGTCACAGGCTGTGGTTTCTGAGCTCTGGGTAGCTCAGTCTTACACATCCCTAGTGGAAACATCCAGCAGAGGATAAGAAGGTTTCACCACCACCATTAAGTAACACCCACAGAAAGACCTTCTGTTCCTCCAGATCTGTTTCTTACTTCCATGTTCATACTCCTAGCCACAGCGCTAAGTCACCATGAAAATCTGTCATGTACAATGAAGCAATTGCAAAATACTCACACAATCATTTCCTTCTGTTGTTGCCACCTCTTGGATCTGACAGTCTATACATTAAGGTGGTACTTTTGCTTCCTTGGCTGGGAGTGGTGGGGAAAAGGGAGGTGGCAGAGAGAACCCACTCACTCTCTAACCTGGATCTCTTGAAAAATGTGCTTTAGAGACAAGGCATCACTGCAAGTGTAGGGAAGAGATTCTGGAGCACTTCCCAAGACTGAAGAAAAAGCAGAGCCCCAGAAGCCACAGCCCTGCCTGACTGCACTTCCTCTCTAGGGCCTTTTATTGGTCGGTGCACTTAGGAAAAACAGCTGCAGTGAAGTAAGTAATAAAAGTTCAATGAAGCCACATTTCCTAACCTGGTAAGAGAGACTAGTGATTAACTCCTTCCTTTCCGAGGAAGACATGCCCAGCATACCTATGATTCCACCGACATCGTACCAGATAGACAGCTTGTCAGCTTCAGCCTCCTTCCAGCCAAAGTTGTTACTCAGATAGAAGGGCAGCCAGAAGAAGAAGGAGTAATTCACCAGCTTCAGGCAGGCATAGGCCAGGGAGTACTGCAAGAAACACGCAGCCGTTAGGATGGGAGAACCAGCTCGGCACGGCCACAACTTTTCATGTTTCTTCTGCTTTAATTATTTTTTGGCAATGGGGATAGAGCTCAAGACCTTGTGCTTTCAAGGCAGGTGCGGCAATGCTAAGCTAAATCCCCAACCCAATGCCTTGTTTTTGTTCTCACTATTTAGCTCAGGCTGACTTTGCAATCTTTGTGTAGTCCAGGCTGGCTGTGAACTTGTGGTGATCCTGCCTGTTTCCTGAGTGCTGGCACCACATGCATGTGTCACCACGCCAGGCCACAATTATTTTTCTCCTTCTTTTTAATCCAGATGTAATTCATATTCCTTATCCATGCCATCATTTTTCTGGGTAGACATTTCACTGGCATTCAAAATCTTTTTAATTTTTTTCTTCATTGCTTTTAGTCTGTCTTGGATTTCTTCTGTTCCCATTTTTAAAATTCTCTTTCCAAATCTTGGATGAACCAAACTAATTCTGTCTCTGAGATCTTGTTTTCTTCTAGGTTCTTTTTCAGCTTTTCTTCCAGGTCCCCACAACTTTAAGTATTAAAAAGCAAAATGTAAGTGCTTGAGATTAATGATACCTGTTTTTGTTTTGGGGGGTTTTGAGACAGGGTCTTGCTGTGTAGCCCAGGCTGGCTTGAACTCATAGTGATCCTCCTGCCTCAGCCTCCTAAGTGCTGGGATTAGAGGTGTGCACCATCACACCCGCCATGGTATCTGGTTTTAAAAATTAACATTTTTACAAATTCCTCTTTGCCTGATTTTTCTGTTTGCCTTTTCTCTTCATTGCTATTAGCTTCTAGAAAGGCTTTTGGAATAAAGGCCACAGACAGCTACTCTCAACTATTCCTGGGTTCTTCTTGTTAGTTCTGTGGTAGAAACAAATGAGTAGAACCCAGAAGGCAGGCGAGTAGTATTCTTGCCGCTGCTTGGCATTAGCCACAGGCAAATATATCTAGCAAATGTCACAGCTTCCACTGCAAGCAGCTCTTCTACTTCTTGCACATATAATATTACCGAAGTCTAGGACGGCATCCTCATCAGAACCCATCGGAACTCTCACATCATGGCTGCCAAGCCAGTGGAGAAAAAGAGCATCCTTGGAAGTTAAAAAGGAAGGAACATGGGTGTCCTTGGCCTCATGGCTTTTTTTTTTAGGGAAAACAGTTGCAGCTGCTTTAAGACAGTGTTGGGCTCAGACTCAGATACTGAACCAGGAAATCCTGACATTTAGCATCAAAGGACAAGGGGCGGAGCTGGTGACTTCAAAGGGTGTCTGATACACAAGCTCTAGCCCTGGAGCTGCTGCTCAGTCCCTAGATGTCACCTGTTAAAAGCCCTCCCTCGCCAGCAGGGGCCACCCCCCAGAGAGCCACATCCCAGTCACCAGAGCACCCATCTGGACAGCCTGTTGCAGGGGCAAAGGCTCAAGTTAACTAGACTTTCCTCCTCACCAGCCTGCCTACCTTGGAAACAACGGCTGTGAGGACAAAGCAACTGCAAGAGTTCCTGCTCACTCACAACAGGTTCCAGTTCTTTCTCAACAATCAACCATCGTGGAGTATTTAATAACTAGCGGAATGATAACACCTCAGCATAAAAATAGGCCTGAAGGAACCAGCATTTCCCTATCTTTGAGGTGAAGAATTGTGGAAAATGACCCGAATTTAACTTACATTAAGTTTTTGGAAGTGTTTGTTTTCTCTAGCTTGGAGGCACAGGCAAAAGAGAATTGGTACAATAAGTATGAAAATACTTGGACACTCTGAATCTACCTGGGGGTTATATCATAAACACCACTAAAAAATGAAATAAAAAGCAGGGTGTGGCAGCATACTCCCTTAATTCCAGCACTCTGGGAGGCTGAGGCAGCAGGATCAAAAGTTTGAGCCCAGCCTAGGCAATTCAGTGATTTAGTAAGACCCTCTCTCAAAATAAAACAAAAGAAGGCAGAAGATACAGCTCAGTGTAAAGGCTTTGGGTTCAATCCCCAGTACTGTGAAAAAAACAAACCCAGCTGCTTATTCACCACATACTAACCCAATGTTCTAGACCCCAGGAAGCCCAGGGTAAGTTCTACTCCACTGAAAGTTGTGACTCATACCAGGCCTCCCCAGAAAATGAGGGGGATCCTGGAGGCTTAACCTAGGCTCCTCACTTCCATGTCAATGCTAGAGAGCCCGAAGCACTAAGCAGAAAACACTCAGAAGGGAGTCAGAGCAGATGCTTGCAAGGCTTCCCGACTATACAAGCCCCGCAGACCTGGGACTCAGCTGGAGAAACACTGTAGCACTCAGCTCTGGACCCCTTAAAAGAGAGGGTGGGTGAGTTCTCCAACCCGGAAAAGGAGGGACATGGGCCCTTCTTGGGTGACACATAATATTGTATTACTTGAGCAGACCAGAGACAGTCACATTGTACGCCGGGGTCAACAAAAGAGGGTTCATGGGTCCAGCCTGGCCACGTGCATCTGTCCCACACTGTCTGTGCCTTCATTTTATGGTTTCTCAAAGCTGAAAATCGGTGCTCTCTGGCTTTCTGGGCTGACTGACTCTGCATTAGGCCTCAGAGGAGCTGCAGACATTCCTGAGTGCATATCCCTGAAATCAGGCATTGGAGACACGACCCACCCTGAGCAGCCCAAGCCCAGACAGAGCAAGAACCATAGCTTGGTCCTCATGGGAGGCTGGGGTGGCCTTACCAGGATGACTCCGGGCAGGCAACAAGCCTGGCCAAAGCTTATTGCATTCACTTGGGTGATGGCAGTGGCCTCTTGGATAGAATAATTAGGCTCATATTCATCTTCATTTTCGGCATTAATTAATGGCCTATGTGAGTCTTCTTCAAGGTTTTCTTCTCCTTCAATACCTGGGAGACCTAAAATAAAAACCAGAGCTACCATTTACTAAGCACCTACTGAATACCTGGTATGGTGCAAAGGGCTCTGTATATATCACTTCTGGAGTTCTTGCCACTTTTATTTCATCTTGTAGAACAACCAAGGTCAATTAAGGTCACACCACCAATATAATACTACTCAGGGATGGATAAACTGCATATCTTTCTGCTTCTATGGTTTCACTAGTACATATTCTGTGCTTAACCGTTACTATCAAACTGAATCTTTGCGTGTGCACATGGAGGGGGCATGTGATGCTGGGGATTGAAAACAAGCCTCAGGCATGCCAGGCATGCTCCGCCACTGATTTACATCCCCAGCCCCAAACTGAATCATTTTTATAAAAGAAAAAAAAAAAAATCAGTCTCAAGAAGTGAAATGAGCTGGGCATGGTGGTGCATGTCTGTAATCTAATCCCAGCACTCAGGAGAACTGCTGTTTGAGGCCAGCCTGGGCTACGTAGTGAGATCAAGGCCAGGCTGAACTATATAGTGAGACCCTGTCTCAAACAAACATACAAACAAAAGTAAAATTGGAAACACATTCATGCTAATTCCTAGCCAGTGTCACAATGATAAAAATAATTTGCAAGCTGGGAACATAGCTCAGTGGTACAGCACTTGGCTGGCATGAGTGAGGCTCTGAGTTTGATATCTAGGATGGAAAAAAAAAAGGGGGGGGCATTTACTAAGGTTTTCCTGCACATGTAAAAGGTGTGCATCACTCTCAAATAGCAAAATGCAAAACCGCTCCTGCAATTTGCTGCAAGAAGCTCAGCTGTCCTAGGAAAAGATTCCGTTGCCAGACCTCAGACCCCTAACTGAAAGGTACTTTGAAAGGAAGAGACAGCTTCTCACCGATTTCCTCTGGTGACACCAGGAGTCCAAAGAAGATGACGATCCCACCAGCAAACTGCACAGATGCTGTCACCAGAAAGGCGTACTGGAGGAGAGAGGGGAGGTGGGTCTTACATGGGGGACCGGCACAGGTACAGTCACAAGAGGCACATATGGGACGGACAGGTAGAAGGGGGAGGATGTTGGGACCAAGTGCTACTGGTTTTTCTGCTACCTATTTTTGGCTTCCTGTTGTAGTCCCTGGGATCAAACCCAGGGCTGGGCGTGCTGCATAAGCACTCTGCACTGTGGGACCACATCCAGCCACCAAGTGGTCCACCTATGACTTCTCTTTCATTTGCCCATTCGGCTCAGAAAGGAATTTCATTCTACCCTCTGTGCTGCTGGCAGATTTGGTTCTTAGGAACCCTGCTTTCATTTTGTTACTCACTTGTTTAAAAATTCAGACTGTCCATGTCAAATAAATCAGATGTGCAGCCTGGTAGCCGGTACCTGAATCTTGGTGTCCCCCTTCCAAATCATAGGGTCCCCTGTCAGTTCCCGGTGAGGTCCTTGCCCTGAGTGCTACAGGAAGCCCCCTTCTCATTCCAGCCTGTGTTGTGCCCAGAAAGACAGCATTGGTTTGAGTTTTACTCTTCCGTAGCTGCTTCAGCAGTTTCTTCTCCCTGGATTCTTTCCCATTGGGACCTCCTTATTTCTTGGGCTTTGTGCTACCTTATAATGGTATTTGGGGCACTGGATATAGTATCTCTTGTGTTTTATGTTGGAGGCCACGTGATGCCAAGAATGAAGTTTGGGGGGATAGTCCTGACAGTCCTCATATCACCACACAGTTTCCAAGCCCCACCCCATGATCCTCTGTGAGTCCCACAGCTCCCGCATGGGCCCAACTTATAATAACGTATCTAGTTTTAAAAGAGCAACTTCCTCCATTTTAAGGATTGAGGCTTCTGAGTGACACATTTGTATGATCTGACAGAAAGACACAAAGTACAAACACCCCTCACATTCTTCTTGATCCTTTTAGTCTCCCAATTTTCCCACTCTTGTCATTTAATTTTTATCATTCAGAGATTTTTTTTTTTTTTAGTACTGGAATCAAGCCCAGAGCTTTTGTTTTGAACTATATCCCCACCCTACCCTGCTTTTAAAATTTTACTCTAAGATAGGATCTTGCTAAGTTACTCAGGCTGCACTCAAATTTTTGATCCCCCTGCCTCAGCCTCAAAGTGCTAGATTACAGATGTGCACCAACATATCTGGGCAGAGACAGTTTCAGAAACCTACAGTGAATACGCACATGTACTTTGTCATGCTTCCTTTTCAAACAAACAGTGTAATTCAAGGCCGTGAGATTGTTCCAGTGCACTGATCTTGCTCAGTGGAGCATCCAAATTCTACTTTAGAGGCACAGCACCTTTTGAATGGATGAACCCAAGTTCAGCTATTCCCTGCTGGATTTTCAGTCTTTGGCTATTACTAGCAATGCTTGCACACACATCTCTCTGTACCTGTGCAATTAATTCCTGGAGTGGAGCTGCATGTTGATGTTGCTGGAACTTGGACAGTCACTGATTAACTCCTGAAGGGGCAGAATGTATTTTCAAACAGTGATGGCCAATTCTGTGCAGCCTTGTGAGCACAACAGGCAATCAGCAACCTGCTGGATTTTACTAATCTGACATGTGTAGTTTTTCTTACAGTGTAGTTATAATTAATTCATCTCCACCAAGTAAACCCTAATTCCTAGGGACAGATACTCATCCCTTTTAGACAATGCTACATTCTGCAACACCAAGGTACCAGAGATCGAACTCACGCCCTTGTGCTTACAAGGCAGGCCCTTGTGCTTTCGAGACAGGCACCGAAACCACTGAGCTATATCTCCAGCCCCTAAGCCCTTTACTTTCTATGTTGTTGTCTTTTGTCACTCATGAAAGTACAAGTTCAGTGATATCTAGGTTCACGAATGCTTTTGGTTCACAAACAAAAGTGTTTGGCAGAATTTTGTTTTTGTTTGCAATCTATAAATGGTGCCACTGGGTGACAAATCTACACTGGGTAACAAACACGACCATGGTCATCCTTCCTCCACAAACACTAAATGTGGCCATCTTTTCCAAAATCATGGAAGAAATTAAGTTCCTGAACCAAAGTGCTATTCTACTTTTTATCAATTAGTTCTGTATATTTCAACTCCTGTTAGTGTTTTTGTAATGAATAGCTTTATGTGTTTGAATTTATCAGAAGTTCTCTCACTTTTAATATAGCCTTCCCCTACTCGAACACAACTCTGCAGTTTCAAGAGAGTGCAGTATTACTTTGGAAAAAACTGCACATAATATATAAACACACACACACACACACACACACACACACACACACACAAGCTGAGAAAACGTACTCACCTCATAGCCATACTGCAGGACAGAAGAGGCAAGGCAAGCTCCCAAGATGTTGCCCACGGAGGCACAGGCACTCCAGAGACCGAAGATCACACCCCGGCTGTGAGTGGGCAGACAGAAAGCGAGCACATTAGAGGGGATTCTGTGCACAGGTCAAGCTTTAAAAAGTGCCAGAACAGTGAAGATTCTCGTGACAAAAAATATTCTTTTAAACATTTCCAATACTTCAAAGTGATAAAACATCAGCTCTCTTGTAAGAGTAAGAATTTATGATGTTAAAATTCAATTTGGTGTAATCCCAGCACTTGGGAGGCTAAGGCAGGAGGATCACTGAGTTCGAGACCAGCCTGGGCTACACACAGTGAGTTCCAGGTCAGTCTCAACTACGTAGTGAGACCCTGTCTCAAAAAACTTTAAAAAAAAAAAAAAATTCAATTTGGGAGCTAGGAATGGTAGTGCACATCTATAATCCCAGCACTCAGGAGGCTGAGGTGGGAGGATCATGAGTTTGAGGCCAGCCTAGGCTACATAGTGAGACTCTATCAAAAAGGAAAAAAAAAAAAAAAAAAAAAAAAAAAAAAAAAAAAAAAAAGGAAAATCAACACTGAATTCAACTGGGGAGCTCAGCAGCATAGGAAAGGTCCTGAGTTCCTGAGTTGGATCCCTGGGAGGGGGCACAAACTGGGAGAATATTTGCATATTACTTATCTAATAAAAGACTTGTACCCAAAACTCTATTAAAGAAAATAGACAATGCAACAAAATATCTATTGTTTGTTTTCTTCAGACAGGGTCTGGCTATATAGCTCAGGCTGGCCTTCAACTCATTAGGTATAGCCCAGGCAGGCCTGAATTTGTGGCAATCCTTTTGCCTCAGCCTTCCAAATGCTGGGATTACAGGCATGCACCACCATGGCTGGCTTAACAGTATATTAAAGAGCACTGTAAAAAGACTGTAGGTACTTCACAGGACAACGTATGATAAAAATAATTACATGATGCTAATAAGCAAAAGAAAACATGTTTAACATCATTAGACATGAGGGAAATAAACGCCAAGGGAAATAAACTCATCAAAATGAGATGTTATCACACCCCTACCAGAATGGCTAAAATCAAAGGCTGATTAGCAAGGATGTGGAGTGACTGCGTCTACACAATGCACGGGTCCCCAGAGCACTCACATACTCACTGCCCATGGCCTAGCCTCTCCACCTTCAGGTACAGTATTTATCCCAGAGACATAGGCACACCCGTCTACACAGGACTTACACACAAGTGCCGTCAGCTGTTCCACTCACTTCAATGAGCCCCAAACTGAAAACCACCCACACATTCATCACCAGGTTAACAGAGGTGCACACTGCTGAGGGACTTCAGAGAGCCTCCATGCGGAACAAAGGCTTTCACAAGAGAGGAGACTGCATAACGCCATTTCTATCAAATCTTGGAAATTCAAATTAAAGTGACAGAAAGCAAGCGAGTGTGAGTGGTGGGGGCAGAAGGAATTACCAAAGGGTGTTTCTTATCTGTGATGATGGCTTAGCAGGTGTGCACAGGCCGAATCCACCACACACACACACACACACACACACACACACGTGCAGCTTCCTGTGCACCTCAGTAAGGCCACGAGAGAAAACAGAAGGCATGAGGAGAGGAAGAGCCAGGTGGAAGGGACACTAGCTGTTCCCGTATCCCTAGAGAAACAACTGGCCCTGAACATAGGCAATGGGCAGCACAGTCAGTGTGAACAGATTCAAGAACGCTTCATTTGCTTTGTTTTGTTTTTTTTTGAGACTGTGTCACAATGTTGTTCAGGCTGGCCTTCAGCTCATGGCACTTCTGCCTCAGACTCTCAAGTGGTGGTGGCATTATAGGTATGTGCCAGCTTTTAAAGTTCAAATCTGTACTTCACTCCAATTGATACATACAACGCACTGTGTTAGGTCAACATGCTTTAGCTCTCTACACATTTTTCTAACCTCACTGAAGCAGACAGAACGTTAAGGTATGAACAGGGAGATGACACTACAGAGTAAGAAACAAAGTTGACAAGGTGTGACCTCTGCTACTGCCAGTCACCAGCCGACACTCGGTCTCTCCTGTCGCAGACCCCTCCTCAAAGGCTCCTCCTTTGCAATCCAGGCGAAGGGCCCAATGCCACGCAGATGCAGGCATGAGGACTGCCTCGTCTACGTTTGTTTTTAAAAGGAATCTCCAGGGACCAAGAGCAGCAATACGACTCAGCCTAAGTAACAGTCACGGAGGGGCAAGGTTTCTCACAGCTGATAATTTCTCTGGGCCCTCAGCGTTTTTTGTTTTTTTTTTAATCTGGAAAACAAATGAGTTAACCTGCATGGCCTTAGCTCATCTCCAGTTCTAAATCAGCCCAGTGCTGTGAAAACATTTAAGCCTGGCAAGGGGGCCACAGAGGCCAAGTCAGAGGGCAGGGCCTGAATAGAAATGGGATGCTCGAAGAGCGAGATTTCCAGTAACTGAGGCAGTGCCATCTCAGTGTCAGTGGACCTGCAGATCACTGCTGCAGTTCATGGGGAGCCATGGCTAATGTACTCACTTGTTACAAATGAGCTGACTTACTTTCCTGGGGGCCTGTGGTGGCTTTCTTGGCTTCTTTTTGCTTTGAGATTGAGTCATAAAAATAATGAAGTGGTCAGACTGCTGCTCCACTGATCTGAAGACTCAGTGTCAGCTGATTTAGAACAGCCTTCAATTCCCTCCAAATGACCCTCGTTAGGGCTGGGGATTTAGTTCAGTGGTTCCAGCGCCTGCCTTGCAAGCACAAGGACCCGAATTCAATCCCTGGTACCAAAAAACAAAACAAAACAAATGACCCTCATTAGAACTAATAAGTATCTATGAGTGACAGGACTGCAGTGAACTCAACATTAGTTTTCTTTGCCCATTTATATTTTGATTTATAATAAAATGGTACCCTCTTCACAATTTTGTCATAAATGAAAAAATTATTGTAAACATCTTTTTTTTTGTACCCGGGATCGAACTCAGGACCTTGTGCTTGCAAAGCAGATGGCGGAACCACTGAGCCAATTCCCTGGCCCTATTGTAAAAATCATAAACAACACTGCCCATGAGCAGGCTGTTCATCTACTCCAAAGGAAAACACAAATATCACAGGACAACGCTTCTGGGTCACCTACACACTGAGACCTAGCACCTAACCGGAGAGCTCTCGGACGATGCTTCTTCCAGCCCAAGAGGGGTCCCTCTCACCATGAAATGGGGAGCTGAAAAGCTGAGGAGCAGCAGGTACACACTGAGTACCAGGAGGGTGGAGAGCGTCTGTCACACACCGTGACCCCCACAGCAGAATGAACACAAGATAACAGAGCGCACAGGAGATAAATATGCATCTGATAATGCACAAATATTCATCCCGGAAAAATGGTATAAATCCTTTGGTTTTTTTTTTTTGGTACCAGTGATCAAACTCAGGACCTTGCACTTTCGAGGCAGGCGGCAGCACCACTGAGCTAAATCCCTGGCCTCGTTTTGTTTTGCTTTTGAGGCAGGGTCTTGCTATGCAGTTCAGGTTGTCCTCAAACTCCTGGTGATCCTGTTTCAGCCTCCTGAGTGTTGGGACTACAGGCGTGTGCCACCACACCTGGCTCATGAAAACAAATGAACAGTTTCTGAATTGGGAGTAACAATGCCAAGGAAGCAAGCCTTTCCTTAGCTCAAGTTATGTTCCAAGCTGCAAACGCTGCCTGACTCTTCTTCCCGGGAGGCTATGCTGTCAGCAGGCCACATCCTGTCCCATGGCCCACACCATACTCACAGAGTCAACAGTCCAAAGCCAAGCTAAGTGAGGCCTGGGGGAAACGTCCACTCTAACCACTAAGGGTGGCATTCAGGGGAATCTTGTCAGAGCCTTTGCTGAGACTGCAGACAAGTCACAGGGATCACTTCTGGCCTGTTTCCTTCTCTTTAACATGAGCTTGACCCATGGCAGGTCATGGGTGAACTGAGAGATAGGAAAAACTCTTCTCTTTTTTTGGGGGGGGGTTGGTTTTTTGAGACACGGTCTCACTAATGTAGTTGAGACTGACCGGGAACTCACTATGTAGCTCAGACTGGTCTTGAACTCATAGCAATCCTCCTGTCTCAGCCTCCTGAGTGCTGGGATTAAAGGCGTGCGCCACCACACCCGGCCAAACTCTTTTCTTAAATACTGTTACATATATTAGGTGCACAGGCTCGAGGTCATGAGTAGCTGCACATCTGCACATGACTACTGTTAAACCATAATGTTTAAATTGTCAATGTGGTTACAAGATGTGGTCTGGCTAGGTGTGGTGGCGCACACCTGTAATCTTAGCACTTGGGAGGCTGAGGCAGGGCCAGCCTGGACTACATAGGGAAACAAAACAAAAACATAATCAAAAACGGGCTGAGGATTTAGCTCAGTGTTGCTGCCACCTGCCTCGCAAGTGCAAGGTCCTGAGTTTGATCCCCGGTACCAAACAAACAAACTCACAAACAAAAATACATGTTTGGTAAGGGGATGTGATACTCAATAATGTGTTCTCTATGAGAGATACCATAAATTCTTGTGGTTATTGTGATATCTTTGCTTAATAATTTCTAGATAACCAAAAAGAAATTTTAGTCATGTATTTTATTATATAAACAAATGCAAACTTGTAGTGTTTTAATCTTTTTTTTTTTAACTTTTCAACACAGACTAATAATGAATATTTCCCAGATACACGTGAACTCTGCTGTAATTTTCTGGACTGTAATCTCCCAGGGGTTAAATTAGATCAGAGAATCAGAAAAAGACAGAAAAGACAAACTCAAAGGTAGACAAATGATAACACACTTAAAAAAAAAAAAAAAAGCAAGCCAGGTGTGGTGAAACACACCTATAATCCCAGCTCTCTGGGAAGGCTGAGGCAGGGGGATTGCAAATTTGAACCTAGTCTGGACAATTTAGTGAGGCCCTGACTCAAAATCAATGAAGAAATATTTAAAAGGGCTGAGGATGTAGCTCAGTGCAAAGACAATGGGTTCAATCCCAGCACCACAGAAAGAAAAGCAAGCAGCGTTCTGTCCATACTGCCTTAGTTCAGATTCACATCTGGAGGAGGCCCACTGTGTCCTATTGAGTGTGAGCAGTGGTGAGGTCCACACCATTTCCATTCTACTCTGCATGGCCCTCCTCTCCCCGACTACTTAGACTTTCTAGACACAGGGAGAATGTGGGCAGCATACACTGGCTCCAAGGCTGAGCAAATCAACACTGAAGTCTGTCACCAAACAAGGGAGGAGGAAGTGGCAGCATACCCAGCTTTGCCAAACCAGTTGCCCATCACAGCCACGACACAGGGCCAGCCTGTGGACTGCAGCAAGCCGTTCACGATCCACAGGCCACAGTAGAACCACTTGTTGTAGAAGTGCAGCCATTCTGTGAGTGTGCCGAAGACGAACACCTTTCAGAGAGGAAAGAAAAGGGACATGTGTCACGCCCAAGGATGCTTTCCAGATACATTCTGTCACTTAGCACCTCAGAGCTGGTGACCCCTTTTCCACTGCCTGGGCTCAGAACCAGCACTACAGAGGGGACCACCCTGTCACATTTCACTATGGCTAACAAGCTCAGGTCCCTACGTTTCCACCTCATGCTGCTCCCTCAGGCCTGTGTGGCAGAGGGGACAGCAACCTCCAGAGGGCACAGGGTGTGAGCACACTCAGGACAGCACCAGGCACAGGCTGGGAAGAGCTCTGGGTGAGGCTGCTGCTGGGCAGCAGCTGCTGGGTCTATCAGTGAAGCAGAACCTGTCCAGTTTCTCATCTACTGAATCCTTTAGTGGTTTCTAACAGGAACTGCCTTTCTCCAAGAAGTTGATTCTGGGGCTGCCTGGCATGGGCTACTGAATGGTACGTACAACACTGTCAAATTCCAGTTCTTAGGCATCTGGAGCAAGCAAGGCCCTAAGGACACAAGCTAGGGAACACACCACATTTAGCTGCGGAAACTCAGAAATTTCTACTGAAATGGTGAGTTTATGTACACAGCTGTATCTTTTATATTTTTGTACCGGGGATTGAACTCGGGTCCTTGCGCTTGCAAGGCAGGCGGCAGAACCACTGAGCTAAATCCCCAGCCCATGTATCTTTTAATATATATAAAAAAAAAGCCAACAAAGTTTGTATACAGGTTTTTTAAAAAGTATGTAAATCATGTGCCATTAAAAATACTTATTTGTAGGGCCAAGGATTTAGCTCAGTGGTTTAATCCCCAGTACCACACACACAAGAAAACTTATTTGTGTTTCAAATAAAACTGGTATAGGAAAGTCTTGAAAAAAAACTGTATAAATATGTATAGGTGAGCAGCTTACAAATAACCAAAGTGCTCTAATCCCTAAAGTTTCAAATAAGAATTTTTTTCTCAGGGCCGGGGATTTACTTCAGTGGTTCCGCCACCTGCCTCACAAGTGCAAGGACCAAGTTTAATCCTCCTCAGTACAAAAAAAAAAAAAAAAAAAAAAAAAAAAATTTTTTTCCCGAACAAAAAAGAAAAAAAAAAAAAAAAAAAAAAAAAAAAAAAGAATTTTTTTGCTCGAACTCAAATGACAGATACTGAGAACAATAATAAATTGGGATCTAATAAAACTTTACGGTCTCATCCATCAATAAGGTGATAAGGGCTGGGGATTTAGCTCAGTGGTGCCTCACCTGTCTTACAAGCACAAGGTCCTGAGTTCAATCTCAGGTACCAGGAAAAAAAAAAAAAGATACGGATACAAGTGATAGATGCTGCTGCTCAAAGCACCTATCCTGAAAGCCCCACACAGATGCTGCCACCCAGAAGGGGGGACACACACAATCACTTTGCAAACAAGGAAGCCAGGCACAGGAAAACAGCAGGCAGGAAACTGCAGATGGACCCCAGCTGCCTGATCCAGTGGCTCCGTGGTCTCCATCACCATGCAACCCACTCTCAGAGAAAACATGGTGGAAACTGAAATGGCCAGGCCCCGGAGCAGGCGGTCACTACAGGGAGCTCAGGACAGGGAACAGAGGACCCTCCCAGGTTGGCAGCTCAATGTGGCAGCAGGAGTCAGTGACTGGACAGAGAGGTGGAGTCAGGGAATGGAGAGGTAAATAATGGGCCACAAAGGCGGAAAGGGCATCACAAACACAGTCTCAAAGGAGTAGAGGGTAGGGTGGGTCAGGGGCTTGGCAAGAGGCACCATCCTGTGAGAGCAGAGGGGTGATGCAGAGTGAGAGATGGGAGGACATGGGCAGGCTGGGTTCAACACCAGGCAGCAGTGAGCACCACACAGTCTCACTGTAAAAAGGCCCCTTGGGGAAAGGCACACAGGGTCAGCACGCAGGAGGCGGATCTCACTGGGCCGTTCCACACACAGAGAAGTCAGGGGTACCTGGACCCTAAGATTACAAGAATTATAAAATCTTGACAACTCACCACTAATGCCGATGAGCACATGCCGAAAGATAGCACCCATCGTAAATTCAGCCGGTCCCCAATGATGCCACTGATGAACAGGCCCTGAAAAGAAGCCATTCCATTTTGTAGCTCTAACTCCTACAGCTGGGCACGATGGTGCACACCTGTAATCCTAGTATTCTGGAGGCTGAGGCAGGAGGATCACCACAAGTTGAAGCTCAGCCTGGGTTGGTTACAAAGTGAGTTTAAGGCCAGCCTGAACTACATAGTGAGACCTTGTTTCAAAAACAAACAAACAAAACCCCCAAAATAAATAAATTGTGGGCCAGGACCTGGCTCAGTGATTCTGCTGCTTGCCTCACAAGGGCAAGGGCCCCGAGTTCAATCCCCAGTACCAAAAAAAAAACCAAACCAATCATTCAATCAATTAATTGTACCCCAGGCCAAAGAGGTGACATGCATTGCAAAGCAAATGACATAATGACAATTGCAGGGACCACCTCGCATCAGCCCCCTGGGGTCCGGAAACTGCACGGATCCCCGTCACTACTCATGAATCTATGTGCCAGATGCCATGATGCTGGCAAATTCCAAATTTTTTAAAAAATCAGTTCCCTAACTGAAAATGAGTAAGAACCATTCTAATACAACTAAGCACCCAAGGGCAGGGGATGTGACTCAGCAGCACTGCACCTGCCTGGCAAGCATAAGGTTCTGAGTTCCATTCCTGGTACCAAAAAAAAAAGCACCCAAACATACTCATCTTGGAGAGATTAATTCTTCAACACCGGCCTGCTTCCCAAAGGATCTATCTGCACTGAGTCTAGATGTATCCCACACAGCCTGTGCTTTCAGATGTGACAGGCGGGACAGACGTTCCAGGCACACTCAGAGCCCATGTGATGTGACTCTCGGGGCTCAGGACACCATAGGCAGGGAGCTCAGGGAGACAGAAGTGACAATCAGAGAAGAAAGACACACGAGGCCTGTGCTTCCACTCACCTCCCACTGTGTGCAGCCCAGGGGCAGACAGAGACAGCAGACCTCAAGGGCAACACGCCTCAGGGTTCTTCTATAAAGCTACTAAATAAATATACGCCCTCACCTCAACACAAAAGACAGACAAACAAGCAAACAAATAAATAAATATCCTCATTCAAACCTAAGTGCAGATAGGACCAAGTGCTTCTGGTCACAGAATTCTTGTTTGTTTGTTTTTTGAGACAGGGTTCCCTATAGTGCTCAGGCTGGTCTTGAACACATTATGCAGCCCAGGCTGGCCTCAAACTCAGAGCAATCCTCTTGCCTCAGCCTCTCCAGAGCTGGGAGGACCAAGGACTTCTGATAAACTCTCTCAGTAGTGGAGAACAATGGATGAGAAAGATCCTCCTCATTAGATGCTTCCTCCTCCCCATCACTTTCTCAGCAGTGAGGCACAAGCATTTAAATAGATTCAATCTTCTACAGATGCCACTCAAACAGCCCTGTGCTACACATAATTAAGGGGAAAGAGAAAACCTCACCGTCCTTTCAGTTAAGGGAATCAGGTTATTCTCCACTGCTCCAGAAAGCAAACTGCCAGAAAGTTACAGAAGGAAATGCACCTGAACAGAAAGAACTACTCAGCCAGGTATGGCAGCGCACACCTGTAATCCCAGCACTTGGGAAGCTAAGGCAAGAGGATGATTTCAAGGCCCTCCTGGGCTACACAGTGGGTTCAAGGCCAGCCTAGACTACACAGCGATACCCTGTCTCAAAAAACTAAAAAACAAAGCAAAACAAAACAAAAAACTAATGGGGACGGCAGCTCAGTGGTAGAGCCCTTGCCTAGCATGAGGCCTTGGGATCGATCTCTGGCACCACCAAAACCCAAAACAAAACTCTGTGGAGGGAAAAAGGGAGGTAGGAATGGAAGAAAGGGTATAAAAATAATCGAGACATGTTAGGTACAGGTAGCAACTTCCCACAATAAATATAATCATCATGTACTGAAAACGTATAGCAATAAAAATAAACTTCTAGAATCCTCAAACTTACCACAGCATAGGAAAAGAGGAAAATGGTATCCAAAGTTCCAAGAAAAAGTGTGGCTTCCTCTGTACTGGGAAACAACTGGTTGCTGCTCCAGGTCTGCAAGAACAGGACAAGACAAGAGCAGGTCACTTCGGGGGCCCTGCACCCACCTGGCCCCTGAGCCCACAGTGGCAATCCCAGGGGCACCAGGCCACCCTGGGGAAAGAGCACATGCATGATTGCAGTGGGGCCCAAGGCCCAAAGCCCAGTATGCAGCACTGGTGAGGACTGGCTTTTACTGTAGGCACAGGCTTTTCTTCTCAAGCAAAACACTCTGTCCCCAGCACCACCAAGAAAAAGCAATCAATCAAAACACTTACATGCTAATGACTCTTACAAGAACAAGGGCCCACGTTAGATCCCCGGTATAAAAAAAAAACAAAACCAAAAACTACTAATGAGTAGGTTAACTAAATGAGAAAACTAGGCAGTAAGCATAAAAGAACACATTTCAAAGAAATAAATTCTGATTATAACCTCTGCATTCAGGAGGTTTTAAAGATTCAATAAATCAGAAATCGCTCAACCCAAGAAAAGACATATTTCACAGTACTCCTTTTTCTCCCCTAGTACAGGAGATTGAAGCCAGGGCATTCACAATGATCTACTACACCCTTAGCCCTTTCGGTTTTCTTCGGCCTTTTTGAGGCAGGGTCTCAGTATGTAATTCAGGCTGGCCTTAAACTCACTGTGCAGCCCAGGCTGGCCTCGAATTCACAGCGATCCACCTGCCACAGCCTCCCAAATGCTGGTGTTACAGGCATTTGCCACCATGCCCAGACAGGAATGGACAGAATTTTTTTTTTTTTTTTTCTTCAATACTGGGGATGGAACTCAGGACCTTGTGCTTGTTTGCAAGGCACGTACAGTGCCACTGAGCTAAATCCCCAGCCTGGGTATTGACAGATTTTAGACAGCTCTCTTCTGCTTTGCTGCCAGGATTCTGCTGAAATACACTGTCTACTAAACCAAACCAAAAACAAACAAACAAAAAAATCAAATAGGACTAACAAAAAGATTCAGAAAATAGGATAATAGAAAAGTATATTTTATTAACATAGCCCCAGTCCGGATGATTGTACCAGCAGCCTAGAAAAATTTTAGTACACAATCCTAGGCATGGTGGCACACGCCTGTAATCCCAGCACTGGGGAGGCTGAGGCAGAAGCATCCCTGCAAATTCAAGGCCAGCATGGGCTACACAGTGGGTTTAAGGCCAGCCTGGACGCAACAGGGAGACCCTGTCTCAATACATCAAAGCACAAACAAAAAGAAGAAAAGTTCTAGTATACACAGTGAATCACCCAATGAAAGTCAATTATACAACTGAACACACTGCACTCAATCTGCTAACTGCGCCCACCCAGTCCGGGTCATGAATCATTACGGTGTGAACAGTCAGCCTGCGCGGCTGGAGGGTTTTCCTGGGGTGGGTCAGGACTCACCTAAGTGACACTCACTGGATACGTGAGCTTCCTGTGCACGTACTGAAGGTCTGTGTGGTTTCCTACTGAGCAAAGCTTTTAACAGCAGAGGGCTCTGCATCGGGTGGGGGTGCTAACTCCAGAGAGCTACCTGAGAGCTCATGGGGGGGGTGACGACGCCCTGCGACTGTGGGATTTTTCTGGGCCATGGGGAGCACTACAGGTTTCTGCACCAGTTGCCCAGTCAGGGTAGCCATCAACATTGAGATGACACCTGCTAGACCCCTGAAATCCTACTTCTTCACCTGGAGGTAAATCCATGTTCTTTTGCACTATTCTCATGGAAAAACTAAATATATTTTTATTATAATTTGAAGGCAAGTTCTCAAATATTAGATCCATCATTGCCTTGTTTTTGTTTTTTTTTTTTATTTTGGCACCAAGGATTAAAAACTCAGGACCTTGCACTTGCAAAGCAGGAGGCGGAACCACTGAGCTAAATCCCTGGCCCTACCATTGCCTCTTTTATTACCTAAGAACATAAATTTTGCTATGTTCATTTACTATTTTCAGTGTTTGTCCATGTCAGTGAGCTCCAGTATTAATCCTCAAGGTATAGAGACTGTGTCTACTTGAAACACCCAATACACCCTAAGTGTGGGGTAAACCTAGAATCCCAGCATTCAGGAGGCTGAGGCAAGAGAGTCACCGTGAGTTCAAGGCCAGCCTGGGCTACATAGCAAGACTCAGTTTCAGAAACTCCAAAAAACACCTAATAGAGTTAGGCATGAACGTGAAAGATATAATGAGTACTTTTTGAGGATGCTCTTTAAGGCACTTGAGAAATGCTGAGGGGCCAGGGATTTAGCTCCGTGTTCGATCCCCGGTACCAAAAAAGAAAAAAAAAGAAACACTGAACCACACATATAAACAAAGTATTTGTTAGTTTAGATTGGCATTACTGTAGTTCTGGCTCTGAGTCCTTTCCACTTTGGATGAGATTGGCCTCAAAAGCAAGCTCACCAGAGACAGTTACAGATGCTAAGCCCAGGCTGGACGAGAGGCACACACCTTCCTAACTAGTCTACTTCTGGTAGCAAGCCTCAGAAAGGAAAAATCTGGGTGGGAGGATGAAGTGAGCCCAGCCCTCCACAAGGGTGGGTGTGCAAAATAACGTCAAGCTCAGCCAGGCATGGTGGCACACATCTGTGACCAGCACTCTAGGAGGCTGAGGCAGGAAGACCATAAGGTTTGAGACCAGCCTGGGCAAATGAGTGACTTAGCGAGACCCTGTCTCAAAAGAAAAGGGAGGTTGGGTCAGGGATGCATCTCAGAAGCACACTGCCTGACAAGTGCGAGGCCTGAGTTTGATTCCCAGTACCAGAAGAAAAAGAAAAGAAAAGAGAAGAAAAGAAGAGAAAAGAAAAGAAAGAAAAACAAAGGAAAAGAGAAAGAAAAGCAAAGGAAAAGAAAAAGAGAAGAGAAGAGAGGTAGCTCAGTGCAAAAACCTAGAGCTCAATACTCAGTACTATTAAAAAAAAAAAAGGCTAGGGATTTAGCTCAGTGGTGCTACTGCCTGCCTCAAAAGCACAAGGTCGGAGTTTGATCCACAGTACCAAAAAAACAGGTCAAAAGAAAAAGAAACACAAAGCTCCTTGGGATAGCTCAGGACTTGACTTCACACAACCTGTCAATCCAAACTACTTAACCTGAAGTACTGAAAAAAGAGAACAGTGAAACCTCTTTTAACAGCAATTAGAGCAAGCAAATTAAAAAGTCTTAAGCAGAAAAATCAACGTCTGGCCCCAAAGGCCAGCAATGTGAACAGTTCCTACAGGAGAGTCCCACGACGGCTGGAGCCAGCTCCCCGTGCACAGCCCTGCTCCCGGGGGTCCCTGGCTCCAAGGAGGGTTCCTACCTTTCCCTGGTCCCAGCAGCTCAACCTCCTACCCAACAGTGTGGGAGCCTGGACTCTAGGCACAGACAGGCAGAAGGATCTATACCGCCAGCCCCAGTAAAATCTCTATCGAGCCTCCCAGGGACCAACACTTCCCAGGTGTTGTCACAGCTTGAGCTGGATAAACTAAAGACATCCTGGGAGAGGCCCATGGGAAGTTCGGACTTGGTTTCCTGCGGCTTCACACCATTTGCTGGGTGTCTTTGTGTCCTTTTGCTGTAATAAATCACAGTGGTGAGCTACATATTGAGCCTGCGGTTCTTTCTCCTAAGCCACCAACCCTGAGGGTGGTCCTCACCCCACCCCAGGTACCTAAGAAACAGGCCACCTTAGGAGCAGGGCCAGCAACTCAGGGCCTAAATGAAAGCTAGCTTCTCTTCTCTTTATTTTTAATAAAATTTATTTTATTTTATCCCACCCCCATCCTCCCCCTCCCCCTAAGCTTTGTTTCCACTTTCCCTTGTTTTGAAAGCCAGCTTTTCTGTGCATTGGTCGGGCTGCACCTGAATGCCACACTTAGTGCTCATGCCGTGGAGCTACAGCAGAAGGAGCCAGCAGCACCCAGACATGGGACAGCGTCCCTCACACAGCTCACAGGTGCTCTCCCTAGCGGCAGTAAAGCGGAAGCTGGGAGGCTATCTCTAACAGTGACAAAATACTGGTGATAAGCTGAGGCTGCATGACCTCTCCAGGGCCACTTCCACAAGGACAGGCGCTCTCTGGTTTTTTTGTTATGGTGGTGCTTGTTTTGGTGTTTTTCTGTTTTTTCAGCTTCTAGGCTTTTGTGTTCTTCACGTCTTCAGTGCTTAGGAGAGTGTGCATGCAAGACAGTGCCCAATAACTACTGACTGAATACCTTATTTATTATCGAGGGATATTTGTACAACCTTCAAACCTCTGTCAACTTCAAATGAGCCCAAATAGGAGAAATAATTTTTGAGAAATAAAGCATCCCAATACTTTTTTCCCCTTTCAAAAGGCCACTTTACTGATGGAGATGAACTGAATGGAGTTCTCTACAGCCCTCCTCTCACTCCATCAGCGGCTTCACTGGGCTTCTGAGGCCGGTATGGCCTGTTGCCAGCCAGGCCTGGATAGTTCAGCCAGCTCCACTGCCCGCTGCAAGTCAGGCGGCCACATAAAAACACATCACAGCTGGGCCGGGGATTTAGCTCAGTGGTTCCACGGCCTGCCTTGAAAGCAAAAGGTCCTGAGTTCAATCCCCAGTACCAAAACCAAAACAAAAACAAAAAACAAAAAATCCCCACATCAACAAAAAAACCCCACATCAACAAAAAAACCCCACATCAACAAAAAAACCCCACATCACAGCTACTGACAATTCGTGGATGCATATCTGAAACCCCCTGATGATTTCTGCATTTTTAAAAAATACTGTACAAAATATGTGAACTAAGGAAAGCTTAGCTGTACTGTGCCATCTGCAGGACGTCCTTTTAAAATTACTGTCCCCGGGGCCAGAGATTTAGCTCAGTGGTTCTGCTGCCTGCCTTGCAAGCGCAAGGCCCCAAGTTTAATACCTAGTACAAAAAAAAAAAAAAAATTACTGTTCCCCCAAACATCACTGCTTATTGCACCTAACTGCCAGTCCTTGGACCACACCACCGTGAGGATGGGGCCACAGCACCTGTGTTGGTCTCCTGGTCCACCTTTAC